TTTTTTTTTTAAATGAAGCCCTGAGGGATGGCAGATGGTGTGGTGGTTAAAGATGCTGGACTCCCATATGGCTGACCACAGTTCAGGTCTTGGATCTGGCAGCTTGCTTTCTCACTTTCTCTTTCTCTCTCCCCCTCTCTGTCTCTGGTGAACACACATGTCATGTGCCCTTCCCTCTTCCTTTCTCGGTGTCTCTCTATCTCTCTCTGGCAAGCCCACATACTCTCTGGGAATGATGATGCAATGGCAAAATGACACTCCATGATGTGGAGGCCATCTGGAAAGATCTTGGGTTCTTTACTACGATATCAAAGGTCATAAAACAGTGGACTTGTGAAATCATGAAACTATGGTTTTAATGCCCAAGACTTTTATACCCAACCAATTTAGCATGCATTTGGAACGCACCAGGAAGAAACACACTGGGTAGGTGTGGGTGTCCAGAATCCTGGAGGGCTGAGGAAACAGAATCACATCATAACAAGATCCTGTTGAAGGTCCTCTTTCTCACTCATGTGTGTGTGCTTCCTATCATAAAAAAAAGGGAAAGGGTCAGCAGGTGGCATGGTAGTTAAGGCGGCTGTATCCTACATGGCCAATTGTGTAGTTCAAATCCCAGACACGATGGCTTTAAAAACACTCTGGGCCCATGTGCCCAAAATTGTGTGCCTAACATTTTGAGAGGAGACTAGAAGAGAAGGGATTGCAGCATGGCCATCCTTCTGGGGGAGTGGGTGATCTCTCAGTTTTTCTTTCTCTCTGGTGAGTGTACATGCTTTATAGCAAAAATTTTTTAAAAAAGGAAAAAATTAGAAGAGAGGTATTAAATAGTAAAATGTAAGAATCATATTTTAAATACATCAGTAATAATCTTTTAAAACTAGTTATTATGTAAAAACATAAAAACAAAACCCAATAGATGCCTCCAACAGATACCAAAGCCAGCCAATGCTCAAGTCTCTTATATAAAATGGTATACATTTTCATAGGACCTGCATACATTCTCCTATATCCTTTAAATCATCTCTAGATGATTTATGCTACCTAATACAATGTACATGCTAAGAAAATAGTGGCTACACTATATTTTAAAAATCTTTATATTTTTAGATCGTTGCATATTTATTTAAAAAATTTTTTTTCAAATATGTTCCATCTGTGATTGATTGAATCAGTGGAGATGGAATTTCTGGATACCTCAGATCAACTGAAAAGGAAATACATGTGTGTAGGGAGCTATTTTTTTTTAAATCACGTTTTATAATCTTTAACTCACAAAAAATGCAAGTAAATAGGTAAGTTTATCTATTGAATAATACATGGGTCTTCTCTCAAGTGTTATGCATTATGTAAACAATCATCTTTTCTCTCATTAACTGTGACTTCTTAGAAGAATTCCATTTATCATAATGGGACAAGGAGGCATTTAATGTCTTACTGGAAGCAAGAACCGCATGCTCTACTCTTTGACTATGATATAATAAATCTAGCTGTTAATAGCTAAACTGAAACACAGAGAGGACCAGCATGTGGCATGGCAGTTACCACACTGGATCCCACATGGCCAACTGTGTTGTTCAAATGCTGGACTTGGCACCTTGACACATACGCTGGGTGCATGTGCATGCATGTCCAAAATCTCAAGAGGAGAATGGAGAAGAGATTGTGGCGAGTCCATCTCCCCTGGGGTGTGATTTCTCACTTTCCCTCTCTGGTGAGTGCACACACCCTATAACAAAACAAAGCACAAAAATTACCACTGTGCCAATCCCAGGCCCCGCCTTTCCCTTCCCTTCCCTTCCCTTCCCTTCCCTTCCCTTCTCCTCTCTTCTCCTCTCCTCTCCTCTTCTCTTCTCCTTCCTTCCTTCCTTCATTCCTTTTTTGAGCTTTAAGTATAGAGTGCATGCACTTGACAGAGATAGAGACAGAGAAAGTAGGAAAGTTAGAAATCACCCTTCAAGGGGGATGTCCACACTAGAATCCCTTCTCCTCTATTCTCCTTTCAAGATTTTGGGCATGCATGCACATGCCCACAGTATGTTTTCAAGCTGCTGAGTCCTGGACTTGAACTCTGCAGTTGGTCCTATGGGATCCAGCATCTGAACCTCCATGCCACCTCCTGGCCCTGGGTCTTGATTTTTTTTATTACTCATTCTAACACCTGCCTTGGGAAGCTTTAGAAAGCAAGGATAAAAGTTCAGATATTGAGGAGTCAAGCATCATGAATGGAAACCAAACTATATATGAGGGTCTTCAAATATTTCATGGAAAATGCATGTTATATAAAAAAATGCATGGATTCCAATGTTTTTTGGATGAAAATTAAGTCCTACTTTTATTTTTCACCAACTTTTCAAGGTATGTATTTAGTTTTAGAGAGAGAGTTTCACTTATCAATTGCAATGTCACACACGTGCTGGTAGCTTCAGACGAATTGCATTCATGAAACTTAATTCTCCTTCCAGGAATTTATTTTAAGAAACTGAACAAAAGGACTTAAGGACATAACTCACAGTGCTATTTGTAGGGAGGTGGAGTGGGATTCCTCTTACTCCTCCCTGGATCATTTTACAACCATGAGGATGCCATCAATTACATAAATAGCTAGGTATAAAACAGAGAGAGATGGGTGATGGAATCAGGTTTTTTAGAGATTTACGTACCTTGAATACTGAGGAATGAAATTGTACAAATGAGTTCAGAGGATAGGAGCAAAACTAAGGGATGTGAAAAGATAATCCAGACCTTTGAACATCCATCAGATACAAGTTTCAGAAGCAAAGAAACAAAATGGAGAGGGAAGAAGGAGACGAAATGATGCAACATAAGCTCTGTGAGAAGTTTTTGATTGAGAGTTTTCCGAGTGTTGAGTAGAATCCATGATAAAAGCACGAAGGTAGATACCAAGTGGTGATATTTGATACTGGAACACCACCACCAAAAAAAAATAGCATATGAGATTTCTGCATTCAATTTTTTTAAGAGAGACTTTTCCCATAGAGCACATGCTCTCACTGGAGAGACAGAGAAACAGAGAGACAGAAAGTGAGAAATCACCGGGGTTGGCCATACTGCAGTCCTTTCTCCTCCATTCTCCTCTTGGGATTTTGGGCATGCATGCACATGCGCCCGGCATGAGTTTTAAGTCACTGGGTGCAGGACTTGAACAGTGTTCAACTACATGGGAGTCCAGTGATGTAACCATGATGCCACCTTCTGCTTCCTGTATTCAGTTTCAGTAATAATTGTTTGAAAGCAAACAAAGCTGTTTCAAATATGCAAATACTCAAAAATGTTGCCCCTCAGAGTTTTTGATTTTGTTAGTTTTTTGCTATAGGGCACCTGTGCTCACCAGCGTGCGCGAGAGAAAGTTAGAAATCAACTCCTCAGGGGGATGACCACACTGAAATTCATTCTCCTCCATTCTCCTCTTGGAATCTTGGACACACATACACACGCACATGAGCCCAGCATGAGTTTAAGCCACCAGGCCTGGCACTCAAACCACAGTCGACTACGTGGGAGCCAATGATGTAACCATTATGTTATCTGCCAGTCCTGCAGTACTTATAATTTTTTTTTTGTAAGGTTGACATGCTTCCCCCACCATTTATTTGTTTTTTCCATTGTTATATGAGTATAAGCTCATGTTATGTATTTATTTTTAAAAGATTATTTATTTAATTTCATTTGGTTGTTGGGAAAGTCATAATGTATTTTTGCATAGAAAAATTTGTATTATTTATCGTTACTTATAAATATTTATCATTATTATTATTATTATTTTTCATTTACTACAGTGCATGCAACCTCACCAGAGCTAGACACAGAAAAAGAGAAAGACAGAGGAAAAGTGAGAAAGCAAGCTGCCAGGTCTGGGGCTCAAACTGTAGTTGGTTGTGTGGGAGTCCAGTGCATTAGCCACCATACCACCTGCTGGTCCCTCATGTTATTTTTTTATTCCCTGAGTTTCTTGTTTGTTTAGTTGATCAAATTATTTTGACTTTAGGAAGTGGGAGTGACTCTTGGTTGGATTAGTGTAATCTTTTGACATGCCCTCAACTTTTCCCTAGAGTTTCCTTAATTTTTATGTCATTATGAGATGTTTCAGGTTATGATGAAGTAAAATTTAAGGGGAAAAGAATGGACAGAGACAGAGGCAACTTCCATTTTGATAAAAGGTAGTCTTTGAAGATTCGAGTTCAAACTTGTATGCAACTAACAATGTAGGTTTTAAATACATAAAGTAAAAAGTGATAGAGATGATAATGGACATCTGTTAGTTACTTCTACTGGATCAGCATATAGTCCCATGTGCTCATGAATTTTACAGTTGGAAACTATCTTTGCAAGAGGTGGTTCAAGTCAGTCTGTCCTAAGACAGTTCTGTTCAATCTGTCATGTTTTTCAAGGTTTGAACATACATGAAAAGTGTGCAAAGCCCTAGGTGATCCATGGAAGATAAACACTGAACATAAAGGTGGCAGTGTAATAGGGATTAAATTTATGTTCCAGGGGCCAGCAGGTGACATAGTGGTTATGGCTTTGGACCTGCACATTACCTAACACAGTTTGAGTTTTGGACCCAGGGGCTTGAAAATCACCCTTGGTATATGTGCGTGCATACCCAAAATCCTGAGAGAAGAATGGGGGAGAAGGGATTGCAGAAAAATCACTGCTGGAAGAGGAGTGATTTCTCACTTTCTCTCTCTTTCTGTCTCTCTGGTGAGCACACACACCCTGTAGTAAAACTCTCTCCCTAAAAATAAATACATATATAAATAAATAAATGTGTGTTCCATGTTTGTGAGCCACAAAGAGGCATCTTCTCGAAGGGGTAGGTTGTTTGCCTAGCGTCTGGTGCATACATTTTCCAGGGTCATCCTCTCCAAGGTGTTCGATGAGGTTATTGAAGTGAACCTGATCGACAGTGCAGACTATATCCACCTCGCCTATCTAAAGAGACCTGAGCTGGGGGTCACCCTGACCAAGCTTCACTGTTGGACTCTCACCCATTACAGCAAGTGTGTGTTCCTGGATGCAGACACCCTGGTGAGTATGGGAGGATGGTGAGGACCAGGTTCTCCACTTGACAAGGAAGCCCTCAATGACCATGCCTTTCCACCTGGAAGCCGGCAGCTGGCTCTTACTAATAGATTCTCATGCCAGTCTCTTTCTCTATCATGGAAATTCAGTCCCATAGAATCATATTCTCAGGACAGCCCATAGCCCAGTGGTTAAGGGAGCCAGATCCCACATGGCTGATAGCTGTTCAAATCCCATCCCTGGCAGCTTGAAAAACACGTCAGGTTCACGTGCATGCATTTCTCAGATAGCTCCACAGGATGGAGAAATGGAGACCAGGCTCCCTTGGGGAGTGCTCTCCCTTTCTTTCTTGCCCTCTGTTTCTCTCTGGTGAGTATATATGCTTTATAGCAAATTTAATAGATGTCTGTTATATTTAATAATAGATAATACTTTATTTTTTATATTGCATATATTAGGTCATCAGAAAAGTCATGACGTATTTTCTAAGTTTTTCTTTGCAAAGATGCATCGTGACTTTTCCAGTGATCCTCTATCTATGTATCTATCTATCTATCTATCATCTATTTATCTATCTATGTGTCTATCTATCTATATCTATCATCTATCACCCATCTAGCTAGCTAAGTAGCTAGCTATCATCTATCATCTATGCATATCTATCTATGTATCTATCATTCATCTACCTGTATCTATATCTATCTACCTACCTGTATCTATCTCTGTTTACTATCTATTTATATCAATCTTCTATCATCTATCTCTATCATTTATGTATCTATCTATATCATCTATCCATCTATCTCTATTTGTCTATCTTTATCTGTCTATCATCCATCCATCTATCTATCTAGCTAGCTAGCTAGCTAGCTATATCTATCATCTATCTATCTATAGTTATAGCTATCTATCTATCTCTATCATCTATCTATCTATCTATCTACCATCTATCTACCTATATCTATCTGTCTATCTCTGTCTATCTCCATCTGTGTGAATCAGATTTTCATGAGCACCTGCACTAGACCCTTCTGGAGTATTTGAAGACAAGCTCTTTCCCCAGGAGTGGTTTATAGTTTCATTGTTTCATCTACACAAAATGCAATACTTGGCCCTCTTTCTCTGCTTGCGTATTGAATTACGTTGCCCTATGGGAGTGGCACACCTGGCCTTAGCTGGGTCATATCCGAGCTGTCATTCGGGATAGTCACACTGCATTAAACCTGAACGGGCACAGTGATAGAGACTCACCTGCATTAAACCTGAACGGGCACAGTGAAAACAACCTTTGCACGGCGGTGAACATGTGTGGCCCCCGTTAACAGGGAGACAGCGGCAGGAGGGTTGCAATGTGGAAACCCTTTGTCTGAAATACCCACCCTTGGGCCAGCTAATGGCAACTAGATTTCACATGCTGGCCTTGTGGTTCAAGTCCTGAAACCGATGGCTTTAGAAACATCCCAGGTGTATGTGCGTGCATGGCCAAAGTCCCAAAAAGAAGAAGAAAGAGAAGAGAAGTGATTGTTGCATGGTCGCACCTCACTGGGGGTGCTTTCTCACTCTCCTTCTGTCTCTTTATCTCTCTTCAGCGAATGTACAAAGCCTCTGGCAGATTTAAAAAAATAATAATAAGACCTGTCTCTCTCCTTTTTCCCTCTCCTACTTTTTCTCTCTCTCTTTCCTCAACAAAACGAAAACAAACGCACAAACAAAAACCCAGTCATTGCAAAGCCAAATGGTAACTGAAGCTGGAGTGTTGGAAGTCAGTTCTTCTTTAAGCAAAAGACTCTCTGCAGAAAAGAGGGGAGGTGTGTAGCAAACAAACACAGCAGTGTAATCAGAATAATGGCTTTTTTTTGGGGGGGGGTTTCTTCAAGCAGAGTAAAATTCAGAGAGTCAGTGTGTGTTACAAGGGTTGTAATCAGCACTCAAGCTCCTAGAGGTACCTGATTACATTCTACTGAATTGCAAATCTTTCTGTTCATGCTTTTTTTAGTTTGTGTTTTTTATTTCCCAGAGAGCACATGCCTTTATCAGAGAGAAAGAACGAGACATTGACACAGAGAGAAAGCAGCTCCAGTGGAGCTTGGTCATGCCACAATCCCTTCTCCTCCCTTTCACGTCCTGTTGGGATTTGGGACATGCACACACATGATCCAGTTATTTTTCAAACTGCCAGGGGCAGTACTCGAACTGTAGTCAGCACCGTGGACTGTGTACACTCTTAACCACGAGGCCACAGAGCCAGTCCTGTCTATGGATTTCTGTGGTTGCACTGGTCACATTTGCTACAGGAAGAGGAATGCACAATTAAGAGAAGTCTACGGGGAACCCTTAGGAACTTAGAGAAAATCATTTCATTTTGTATGCGGTGTCACTTGATCCGCTTAAAATAAAATACACAGCCGTCTCACATGTTTCTCCTTGGAGAATAAGATGGGAAGCCTTCAGCCAGCTGGTGGCATGGTGGTTGAGGTTGCTGGGTCCCACAGGGCTAACTGCTGTTTGAGTTCTGGATCTGGTAGCTTGATAAAACACACTGGGTACGAGACCGTGCGTGTCCAAACTCCCGAGAGGAGACTGGAGGAGAGAGGACTGAGGTGTGGCCATCCCCCCCGGGGAACAATTTCTCACTTTCCCTCCCTCTGGTGAGAACATGCACTCTAGCAAAACTGAAAACAAGGACATTTCTGTAAGAATCACTCAAGGGACTAGCAGTTGGCGTCATGGTTACGTTGCTGGACTCCCACATAGTTGACTGTAGTTCCAGTCCCGGACCCGGTGGCTTAAACCTCATGCCAGGTGTGTGTGCGTGCGTGCCCAAGATCCTGCAAGGACAATGGAGGAGAAGGGATTGTGGTGTGGCCATTCTCCTTGAGAGTTGATTTCTTATTGTCTCTCTCTCTGGAAAAAATTCACACTGAACCAAAACTAAATGTAAAGAAAAAAATTTCTGTAAGAGTTGCTCAAGGGACCAGCAGATGGCACAATGGCTGAATTCCCACATAGTTGACTGCAGTTCAAGTCCCAGACTGGGCAGCTTAAAACTCACACCAGGCGTGTGTGCGTGCCTGCCCAAGATCCCGAGAGGAGAATGGAGGAGAAGGGATTGCGGTGTGGCCATCCCCCCGGGGGGTGATTTCTCACTTTCTGTCTCTCTGTCTCCCTCTGTCTCTCTGGTGAGCACACGCGCCCTATAGCAAAACCTCTTTAGAAAGAAAAGAAAGTTGCTGAAATCATTGGGTAAAGGTTCCCAGCCCCAAGCCTTTGTCTGGCCGCCCCTAACTGACGTGTGTGTATTTTGGGAAGGCAAAGTTGTGTCCCTGCAATGCCATGCCTTGTCCCCACAGGTGCTATCCAACGTGGACGAACTCTTCGACCGGGGAGAGTTTTCCGCCGCTCCAGACCCTGGCTGGCCGGACTGCTTCAACAGCGGGGTGTTCGTCTTCCGACCATCTCTGGAAACCCACCACCTCCTCTTGCAACATGCCACGGTCCACGGCAGCTTTGACGGTAAAGGACGGGAACCTGTAAAATTTCAGGAGAGACTTCAGGGTCCTTCCCACCCCCGCGTCTCCACCTCAGTCTGTTTCCCCTGTGTCTGGGAACGTGAAATGAGAAATGTGGAACAGAGGCAGGCCGGGCGATCGGACGGAATCACAACCGAATAAATATACAGGGAGCCTAGAGAACCACGGGAAATGTTCTATTACTTATTTATTTATTTATTTCATTGAAGATTTATTTATTTATTTATTTATTTATTTATAGAGAGATTTTTGCTGTAGGGTGTGTGCACTCACCAGAGAGACAGAGAGAGACAGAGAGACAGAAGGTGAGAAATCACCCCCCAGGGGGGATAGCCATGCTGCAATCCCTCCTCCTCCATTCTCCTCTC